CCACATTTGAAAGAAGAAAGAAATGCCATTTGGTTAGCCAGAATTATACTTTACTATAAGGGTAACATATTTACGCAGTTGCATACTATATTCCGGCGGAGGAATAAATGGAGAGGGACGTACTTAAAGCCAGGGACTTTTATCCGGTTGTTCGTAGTGGACTATCCAGTTGAGCCCCACCTTTTGTGTAGTGGGGTATTCCCGTAACCTAGTGATCAACTCCAGAGAGCGGCGACCGAAGGCCTTTCCTTTGAGGAGCACCGGATGTTTATCCTTGGTTCTATCTTGAACTTTTTCTTCTTTGGGGTTGTGGGAAAAGGATGAGTGGATAGGACGACTACATAGAGTATAATATTGATGAAAGTTTCGATGGCGTGTCACAGAAGAGTCTCGGAGTATCAGTAAAGGTAACGGTGTGCAGAGGGCCTTTCACGTAAATAGATTTCATTTGTTGATATGAGTATAAAGGTCCCCCTCCCTGCGCCATCGCTAGCCCATCCCTGCGCTATAACGAGGCCGACGAGTGCTTTGGAGCGGCGTGGGATGGGAGGGGGGGGGAGGCAGTCTCTCCCTGGGAAATGTATCGGAAGGAAGTTTATGGTAATTTATGGGGGAGTAATTAGCACAAGCAGTGCTTCAGGGGCATACGAGGGTGCAGATTTGCTGTTTTTATCTCGGGATCCAGAGCTAATGGCTGAGACCGGGAGAAGGAGAATTCGCTTTTTCAATGCATATTTGCATATAAAAAGCATAGATATAGATATGCACACACACCACACACACACACACACACACACACACACACACACACACACACACACACACACACACACACACACACACACACACACACACACACAACACAACACAACAACACACACAATCACACACACAAAACTCCACATACACATGCACGCACGCACACTTACATATATACACCCCTTTACATAAATAGGTAAAGGTATGTAATGTATATATATGGTGTGTGTGTAATTGTATGTATACGAAGAAACAAATGCCTGTGTGCCAGTGCCACTGATATACAATTGCCAGACGCGTGACAAGGCGCGCGCTCGCCTGCCTGTGTGCCTCGACGGCCGCTTGCCTCCGTCCCCCGCGACAGCTTCCCCGTCTTCATCCGGGCCGTCTCCGGGCGAACACGCTTTAATGGCGGTAATTTCCGGCCGCGCGACCCGCTTATTCGGGCGCAGAGGAGGCGCGGCGCCGTGATCACTCGCGACTCGTTTGTTGTCGGTGCGATAGAGGAATTAGAGCCCGTAGAAGGAGGACTCGCGGGACATTATTCTGAAGGGATTTTTGTCCCATGGGTCAGTTTCCTAGAATAGAGAAATGCATGCATGTATGTGTGTATGCATATTTGTAACAGAAATGTTGACACATATACAATGTTATGGAATGTTTTAAAAAATTCTTGAATCTTGTTATACTAGAAGTGTATAAACCCCCTTGGGTCTAACAATTTAACACCAGAGATGCTTAACTTAACAGATGGATTATGCATTAATATTAATTTTTTAATCCCTCATTTCCATCTTGGATCACCTTTCCATGGGGTGGGTCCATTTTCTACTATAGAAAAGTGACCCATGGATAAATATCCTATAGGGGTTAATACTATCTCACGCCGGGCGGGGCCGCCTCCCTCCCTGCTTGCCGCTCTGTGGAGACTCCCCGCATGCTATGCTACTTCCCTCGACTTGGACGCGCGACGCCGCAGCATTACATACACACATGTGCATATGCATACAATATACGTGCACTACATAATGCATGCATGTACATTGGCATGCACACGATACGTGCACATGCATGTATGCACACGTACACATGTATGCATACATACATACATACGTACATGGCATGCATGCATGCATGTATACGTGTACACATACATGTACGCACATACACACGTACGCATACACATATTTTATATACAAATATCGTATTTCTTTGTTTTATATATATATATATATGCTTTAGTTTATAGACTCTCCTCTCTCTCATTCTCTCTCCTCTCTCTCTCTCTCATCTCTCTCTTCTTTCTCTCTCTCTCTCTCGTCTCTCTCTCTTCTCTCTCTTCACCCATCTCTCCATTCTCTTCCTCTCTTCCTCCCTTCTCCCTCCTCCCTCTTTCCCCCCTCCGCCTTTTCCCTCTCCTTTCCTCCCGCCCTCTCCTTTTCCATCTCTCTCCCCTCCCCCTCCCTCCTCCCCTCCCTATGCCCATCTCCCTCTCCCTCTCAATCCTCTCATCCCCTCTCTCTCCCCGCTGATTCCGAGTAAGTTAGAAAGTTATAAGCAGCCATTACAATTGGGCGCAGCATTCATTATCGCAGTAATTACAGCGAAGGATATCCCGTGGCGGGCGGCGGGCTGTGGGCGTCGCGCTTGGCCGTGTCGTGGCGGGGGGCGCGTATGGGCGCCTGTGCTCGGTGCTGTTCCCTGGATCGGCGTAGTAACTGGCAGCGAATCCTGCTGCGGT